CCCTCCTCGACCTTCAAGTTACCTCTGGGCTCCTCTCTCCTTTCCCCATAGCTGTATCTACAGAAGAACAATGTCTATAGCGGCACTCGCTACAGCGGGACCATCCCTACAGCGGGACCTTTCCGGAATCCCCCTTTTTTCTATCTATGTTAACTCAATTACCTAAGCTCGGGTTTAGCGAGGCAAAGAAAGGCCCGAACTCGGATACAGCGGGAGAGATCGAACTAGCTGTAGCTGGGGGGGAGGGTGTTTGCCGGCTGAAGGCGGGCTCCAAACAGGCAGTCAGCTGTGCGGCGTTGAGATTAGCCATTTCAGTGGTGAGTGAGGTGGGGCAGGCGGCAGAGAGAGATGGTGCGGAGAGACGCGTTACGTGAGCCACTCCAAAAGTGGTGTGCCGTAGCTTAAACGCTCAGTATGAGAGAGTACAGGCCATAGGCCTAAGCCTAGGCTAGGCCAAAAAGTAAAAGAAGAGGAGAGCGTGTAGTGTATACTCCTGATTCAATTAATTTTTCTCGTAGATGCTCATAGGCATACACACGCATCCACTTCACTAGTTCTACAGTAGGCTTACCGGTACGATAAACAGCACAAGCAACGAGACCGAGGAAAAGATGGCTTCCAACAAAGACGACAGGAAATGCTTGTTCGAATTAAAGGCCGAGATAATCAACGAAGTGGACAAGAAAAGAGACACTTATCTAAAGCGCAATTTTTATTGATATGGAAGGGATGTAGTCATGTTTTTTAAACAGAAATTTCCCCTGTAATTTCCCCTCTGCATTCCTATAGCGGGACTCGCTTTCAGCGGGATTTTTTCTTCTCAAACCAAAAATCCCGCTATAGCCGTGTTCTACTGTATTACTACTCCTGACTCTTTACTGACGCCTTTCAACAACAACATTGATCTTAGCGTAAGTAAGATCGACACCTAGCCTTCTCAAATATGGACAAAAAGCCTGTGAGCATCTTGTGCACGTTAAAGATCCATTGGTAGTCCTAAGATTGATAAGAGTAGGCTCAGGCTGCAATCTGCGCAAAATTCAAAATTAATTCCTACCAAAACTGAAAATACTCCAGTCAGTATTTTTGTTGTTGTTGTTGAAAATCATATATTGAGAGCCTTCGAAATCAGAATATCGCTGCCTGAAGGCAAAGGGGACTTACTATGTAGAAAAAACGGTCACATATGTAAAAATCAGTTACACTGAAGGTTGAAGAACCAGCTGTCAACTTCCCCTGAGATCTAGCAGGGAAACTCAAAGAAGAACAAGAATCAAGATTCATTTTGCGTCTTGCCTTATTGTGTTCATATTATAAAAAAACAAGGTAGATAAAAAGCACCCCTGTCGTCCTCCCGATTTATTACAAACAGTTTTCCCTGGTTCCCAAATTTAAAAAAAGTGTTAGTCAGCCGATCCAAATTAACATGAATTTCAATATCTCATTTTTGCAACATAACAGAAATGATAATAAATGCTGTTGCAAAATAAAAAGAACACTAAGGTCCAATTTAAAGTTTTTGATAGATAAGACAGCACCTGTTTTGTAACGACCGCCCCCACATTTCTGACAACGTGCTATAAAACCACGAGATCGGTGGACGTCTCTTCAGATCAGCTCAACTCACTGCAAAGGTAAGTACAGTCGTAACTTTCCAAGGTGGCCGTTAGAACAGGTTCCACAGTACATATATCTTAGTAATACTTGTCTCTTTTTTTTCTTTTTTTTTTTGGTAAGTGTTTTACCGCACTCGCAACGGCAAACGGTCATATAAGCACGCAGGACACACCTAACATTTTCAGTTGCTAGGAAACTTTTTGAATTTTGCCCGGGTGGCGGCCGAAGCCTACTCTTATCAATTTTAGACCACCAAGGGATCTTTAAGGTGCACAACTTGTACACAGGCCTCCGAGATTTTTCGCCCTTGTCCGAGAAGGCTAGGTGTAGATCTTTCCTACCAGAAGATCAGGTGTGGCTGAAAGACAACAGTAAGAGAGAGCAAAGGAGAAGCAGTGGAAAGGCTGCAGAAATAGTCAGGAGCCCAGAGGAAGGGGCAAAGGAGGTGAGGGGGTGGGGGCAGAAAGTGGAGACGAAAGCAAACGACAGAATATTGCTAGAGAGCAGGAAAGAGGGAAAAGAAGACAATTTTTTAGACGAATTTTGTTTTCGTCGCTAACCGGATTCGAACCCGGGACCTTTCAATGAGAGGCGAACACTTTAAACCTCTAGGCCACGAGAGCCCCCCACCCCCCTTCCCCCTTGTCTCTTTGTAAGGTTTGTCGCTCTTATAGCCACGTAACTAGGCTGGGGTCATTGCTCTAATACACACATTGTTTGTCTGTTCTGGACTTTGTACTTGTGAATGGTGATTAGAATCATTATTATTGTTAGTAGTAGTAGTAGTAGTAGTAGTAGTAGTAGTAGTAGTAGTCGTAGTAGTCGTAGTAGTCGTAGTAGTCGTAGTAGTCGTAGTAGTAGTAGTAGTAGTAGTAGTAGTAGTAGTAGTAGTAGTAGTAGTAGTATAATTATTATTGCAAGAACGGTGATATAGCGATAAGAACAAGATAAAATGTTTGTGGGACAGCTTGGCGTGTATTTTGAAGTCCTGTTCAGCTTGTTCACTGCACCCTATTGAAGCAAGGGCGAGAGCATTAGTGTATGGCCTACAGTGTGGTAAGAAAGAGCTGCCGTTCCTTGTTATATCGTAATATTTTATTCGTTCCTGAAGGGGTGAGGGAGATACAGGTATACTAACTTTGCCATTTTGACAGCAGAATGTGTTCCTCTCTTCTCTCCATCTCATGGCATTGCAATGTTGACAGATGACACTGAATTCACCACAGTCTTGTGTCCGTAATCTCCAATCAACTGCAGTTTCATTAAAGGACTGTGCGTTGCACGCTAAGGCCAATATTAGCTCATTCTTTCTTGGCCTAGCACGCTCAAGGCCTTCCTCCCGATTCTGACTATCAGAACGTGAATTCTGATTGATAGTCGCCTTTCTCCGTTTCATATCGCTTTCATCTCTGTTTGGTCGGATTAAACAAACTCTACGTTTATGGGATATCTTACTACATTATTAACTAATATCCCATGGGCATCTTTATTCTGAGCCGATCTGGATCTAGATTGACATCTTCTTGCTAACTACTCCAAATCAGTCTTGAATTCTGGGCTCCAAATGCATCTAGGATATAGACGTCTAGACCCAGAGCCTTGGTCTATGAAAAGCTATGCCTAAAATACGCTCTAAATTCTGAAAACGTCAATACAGCAAAGTGAACATTTTGTGGTTTTAAACTAACTCAACGTGTTGGAGACATCACTATATCAAATACAATACAATGAAATTTGACCTGAAGTGCCCATCGACACTGCGAAGCACACATCCAAACAGAGTTGGATATCGAGATTCTAGATCTGGAAATTGTAGAAGCAGCTGTCTCACACACTCGACGAAGCTTAAACTTAAATCGAAACGGAAGTAATCCCCAGTAAATATGAAACGGCCAACGACAGAGCGAAAACATCTGAGAGCTTCGATTTACAGGAATAAAACATCAAACCTGAAAAATCAAAAAGGTAGTTTCCGAACTTTGAAAATATGCCTACGTAACCCTTTGTGACAATTCTTAACT